ATTTGATTTTTGAAGATGTTTAATAACGACGTTTCGGAACTAGATCCGTTCCATCATCAGGTTTATTCTGTCAAATACAATGTTTTTTTTAAACTATTGATTAACATTAATTAATGATGGTCATTACAGATTAATTAGAAAAAATTTATAAAGGAATGGATTATGTACCGGTGTAAAGAGTAAAGAAAAGTAACTAAAAAATGTTTTATATAAAATTGAGAAGCAAAAATTATTTACCTGTAATAATTTATATATCCATATCACTAATATTTTATATATTTTTTGTTAAAAACACTCGTTTTTTTTCGAGAATATTTGTAAATATTTTTACAGGGACTTATCTATTATTTATTTATTTATTTATTTATTTATATTATATACTAGCAAACCCGACGAACTCCGTTTCGCCACCAGATGGTTTTGTGAGAAAGATGAAGAAATTTTTTGTTTGTTTTATATTTGAAAAGGAAAAATTTGATCAGTAAGGAATCCCGACTTATTTTTATATATATAGAAGATATTTATTTGAAATTAATTAAAACAATTGTTGATTATTTTTATTACTCGAATTTTTAATTACGGTGCATAAAGTTCCAGCAATTTGCATTAGGGCACGATATAAACGCTATAAACCTTGCGGAGTCCGAGACCTTTCCAACGAATGCAAAATTATCGAAATCGGTTCGTGCGTTCTGGAGTTATTTCGTCAGGAAGGAAAACTCGACTTATTTTTATATATATAGAAGATATATATGCATATATATATATATATATATATATATATATATATATATAAAACATATATAATGATCGTTCATGTGCATCGATTGCTTGTACTTATAAGGCTTTGCAAATGAAGTTGTTGACATGACACGCCCATGTAAATACATATAAGAAAACATCAATAATTTCTACAGAATTCATACTTTTAAACTCAGGAAAAAATTCAAGAACACCAGACACTATATAGATTTATTCCACAAATTTTAAAATTATTTCATTGAACCATCAATCATTCTAAAATATTTATTTTTAGTCTAGAAATGCTTTGGACATATTCTATGAGCTACCGTAATAAGCTCTTCTACTTAAAACGTTAAATATTATAATGCAACCCTATGGTTGTCGTATCTAATCTATATGCGATAAATTTTTATTATTAGAATTTTTGCATGCTGGTAATACAGGTATTTTCAATTTAATGCATTGGGAAAAGCTATTTTAATTTTGAATTACATATTTTAAATCTGTATTTTCATATAAAAGTCGATAAAACTACTACTTGATACCGAATTTTCCAAAGTGGTTAAGGAACCTGGAACCATGAGGTTGCAATATTAAAACTCTATATAGTTAAGCCACACAAAGTCCCTAAGCGTAATATCGAAAAGAATATATTTGTACATATGTATGTTTGTATATAAATTGTGTTTTATGCGTACAATATATATACATATAAATATATAACATCCGAGAGAGTAATTACATGAACCGTTGTTTTCTGACACGGTCGTAAATAATATAATGCGAAGACTCCGGCAGAAGAAGAACGAGTCGCCCAACACTTTCTTCCTCTTCCTTATAATATTCAAATCATAAAACAAATATATAAAACGAATCGAAATTTACATTTAAATAATTTGGAAGCAATTTTTCATAAAAATTACTATTTGCCATAATGAACTGTTAACACTTTCACTACCGGAATATTTTCCGGAGGAGTGACACTGCTTTACGAGCCAGCAACCCGCTCAATAAAAGATGTTTCAATCGATTGAAATTGGAATCAATAAAAAAATCGATTGATCAATATTAACAAAAATGTATTTGAAACATATAATACATCTTGTCGAAGGAGTCCGTCAAGGATGCCCGTTAAGTCCAACTAATAATACATCTTGTCTTCAATCAATATGTTGTTATTTAAAAAAATATTTTTTTCTAAAAACCATAATAATAGAGATTCAATATGGCGTCGAGAGCAGCAAAGACTTTGGGGCACCAGTTCTCTGAAACTATTGATTTTACAAAAAAAGGTTATTGAATGAATTATAGGAAATTTCATCTAGTTTAATTCGTACATGGCTACTTTTATCGTACAATGAGCCGAAAAGGAGATATTTAAAAAAAACTGTTTTTTGACGCCATTTTTTCAATATGGCGGCGACTTAAGGTGAAAATTCGACGTGGCAAATTTGAAATTTGTAAAGAGCAGCTCGAAATCTGTAAGTTTATCTATTTTCAGAGTTTTCCGAATACCAGGTTTTTTGCACCAAATGACTGGACTATATATAAGGACAAATTAAAATATTCTCAATAGTTCAACTCCGAGTGATAAATTTTGAAGCAATAGTCTCGACACATCGTACACACAGGTAGTCAATTTAAATACCTTTATTAAAAAATCGATGTTACCCGACCCAATTTTTTGTAGTCAATGTTTTATCCATATCTAGTAATTAGAGCCCGTATCGGGCAGCCGAATGTCAAGCAGTAGCAACATCGTTTTTTAATTTTAAAAAATCATCAATATTACAGTAAGTCTAATAGTCCAGTCATTATAGTAAGTTCACCTCGGAATTTGAGATACCCAGCTGTGAGTCTGTAAATACTTGTATATTGACACCCTAAAAGTTGTCTCAAAACCTACATATGGTAGGGTGTACGTACTAGGGTTAATCGGTTTTCAAAAACCGGTTTTTTGTCAAATTATGGAATTCGAAAACCGGTTTTTTAGCGAAAAAAGTCGGTTTTCACTGTATAAATGGAAAATGACAAATATAGCCAAATATAGAAGATAGATGAAAGCATTTTAATTCTTGAAATCATATCATTTCTATAGCATTTGATATCTTATCAGTCTGCAATGGTTCCCAGAAAGGTTTTGTATATATTAATTTAGATTTTTATACCAGTGTATATATTAATTTAAATCAGTGTGATTTCTTCTTGAAGAAGTAACTTCCTCTACTCAAACTTTAAAAAAGAGTTTTAAACCATAGAAGCCACAAATTAAAGAACGAAAAACTTGGAATTATTATATTAGGCTTTAAAAACAATTAAGCATAATTTGGTCGCAAGTATGAGACTATTTTCTATTTCAGGAAATTTTGTGAGTAACCAAAGGACACGTCTATGTAGAAATTCGATAGACGTTCTCAGCTTTTTGAAATCGTATTTTATTAAACAAAAAAACAATTAGAATGTTTAAAATTAATTAATTTAAATTACTCGAATCAGACAATGCCCTAGTTTAGTTTAATTGTTTTTAAAACTAAAATTGATAATAAAAAGTATGTATCAAAATGTATCTAATATTTTTTTATTTTATTTAATTAATGATTGTTTTTTATTTAAAAATGTATTATTTTTATTTATTCGAAAACTTTCCTTTCACTATCATAAAAATATTTTCATTCTTTTATGTGAAAATGATGCATGAATACGAATAATTATTTTCAAATTTGTTTAATCAAGATAAACTATTATTTTTTAGTTCTACTAATTAAAATTAAAATAATTTTATTTACTATCTATAAAATTGAACAATAAATAAATTCAGTCAAATACTGCTCTAAATTACACTAAATTTGCGGATAAATTACAGAATGTTCGAGCAAAAATTTATTTACTATATAAAATTCGAAAACCGGTTGAAACCGGTTTTTTAGTAAAATTAAAATTCGAAAACCG